CTCTCTCTCTATATATATATATATATATATAGGCTTAGAATTAAGTTGGAGTTAACCACTTTTGTCCCTTTTTGGTTATTGTCATGATGATTACGTTTATATTTTATGTTTGAATTACATCTATAGTAGGTATACTTATAAGTATTGTGTTTTAAGTTTTACTTATGATTTATATTAGAAAGTATATTTAAGGGATAATATATTATTACTTTGGTTATATATGTTATTAATTATTGACATAACCGAATAACCAAACCGAAAAAAACCGAACTGAATAGAGGAAAACCAAACCAAACCAAATTTATTTTGGATCGGGTTGGGTTACACTTTTACAAAACCAAAAACCAAAAATCCAAACCGAATAGTGTAAAATCAAACCGAAAAACCGAATGCACACCCCTATACTGAAATGTTTATATTACATTTAACTGTATTTTTAGAGATAATTACAAAGCTTACGTTAAGTAGATTACTGTTTTAATTGGCACACACCTATTTAATTACATTTAATAGTCTATTTCGTTAGCCATCCGATATTTGATTCATTCATAACAACCTCTAACAGCCAACCATACGTCCTAAGTTCATTTTTCAATAGGATATATCACTCGTAGCAAGTAATTTAAATTCATGTTACATATGATAACAAATTTTAAAAATAAACTAATTAATCTCTACCAAAACAATTTCAATTTTAACACTTGAACTCGAGTCTTGAGATTCTTTATTAAGGATATAGAGAATTCCTATATTCATCTATCACATATCTGGACGGTAATTTCATTTAATAGATTCAAATCTTATTTTCTTAATTACCCTATTCAGTCGCATAAAAGTTAAGAAATATTAATATAACGTATTGATTGGGTCTTACTAGACATTTTGAAGAGCAGAAAAAAGTAATTTTAATATCAAGTTATCACCTTTTTAAATCATAAGTAATAAATTTTATTCCCAAGGAAAAAGGGTCAATAATTTCCTTAAACTATGTGAAAGGAATAAAAATGTCTCATGTTTATAGTTTGGCTCAAAAATATTTGTACGGTCAATACTTTGGTTCAAAAATACCCATGCAGTCAATACTTTGGTTCAGAAATGCCTTTATAGTTACAAAATGGGTCAAAATGTCCTTTTTTCGAATAAATATATTATTTTTTTCTTTTTAAACACATCTCTTCCTAATTAAAAATATTATTAAAGAACACTATTCTTGTTTTCTTTCTTCTAAAATCATTTTAACAATAAAAAATGTAGGAAATATTTTTTTTTTCTTCTTTAATTCTTCATTTTTTACCAATTTAAAATAGAATAATTTCATGTACCCTTTCGACAGATAATATATGTCATATATATATAAGATCATAGTATATCCATCATAATTTATATTATATTTATATAACGATAAAAAATAATGATAATAAAAAAAGAAATATTTTCACTTTTTATTTTTTTCTGAATTGAAGTAAGATAAACATTTGATAATTTAAAAAAAAACATTATTAGAAAAAGAACGTGTTAAAAAGAAAATAAATATATATGAGCATTTTTTATCCATTAAATAACAATAAGGGAATTTTTTACCAAAATATTGATGACAAGGGCATTTTTGGAGCAAACTACAAACGGAGGGCATTTTTGTTCCTTTCATATAGTTTAAGGGCATTTCTGAACCAAAATATTTTCGGTAAAAATATTTTTGAGCCAAACTATAAACAGAGGGCATTTTTGTTCATTTCACATAGTCTAAGGACATTTTTTTTATCTCTTTCCCTATTACCTAAGTTTATAAGACGGTTATTAATAACTTTACATCTCAAAAGCTATGATTTTTCAAATAATAAAATAAAATAAGATTCTTGTTAAAGTTGACTTTTAAGCCACGGATCCTTTTGAGCTTTCTCTGCACAAAAGGTGTGATTGATTGTATAATTTTCTTGAAAAATAATCTACACGAAAACTTTTTTTCGAACATAGCCAAAATTGAAATGATATGATATGAATAGAACAAAATTGATGGTGGACAGTATCCAAAAATTTTAAAAGAATGGATACTCTATTAGAAAAAGATGGACCTGAGATATAAATTTGACCGGTTTGATCTTTAGATTCTTAACATTGTATTGATAAATTTTTAAAATTATAAGTCCAAAATATATAGTATCACTAGTTTTAATATACATATTTGATTTAATTATATAAAAAAATTATAGTGCTAATTTTTTTTAAGATTTTCAATGTGAGACACTTGAAAATTTTAAAAGATCAAAGCAAAAAACAAGAAAAAACTAATGAAAACATCAAAAATGTTGCCGATATGAATATCCACTTAGAAAGGAGTTACTCAATTTTAAAAAGAAAACAAATAAATTTAAAAAAAAATATAAAAAAATATAAGATTTAAAGCATCCAATCATCATTACATTATATTGATACTTTAAACATGAATTTACATATGGCCATTACTTTTATCACATAGAATAACCAACAAAAAGATAGGTCCCCTCCCACCCCACC